TAATAAGATTATTTTAGTCATTTCTACTTTAATTCTACTATATTCCAATATAATACTAATATTTCTAAAACTATATGCAAAATTCAAATAAATATTTACTTATGGAATAAAAAGAATATAATATATTAATATTTTTGAAAAAAATGGTATGAGTATTTTTATTTTTTTTGGTTAAAAAAACATACCTCAAATACACAAAGTCAATTGTTTTTAATTTCAGCTCACTCTTTTATTTTTATAATTTCTTTTATTTTTTTTTTTGGGTTCAGCTTCTTGGAATTCTTCTTCGATGGTTTTTAGAGTGTGTTTCTTCGGACGATTGGATTTAAATTCAACTACTAATCTAATTTTTTTTCCAAAAAAATATCAAATCAAACACCTATTTTTTATTTTTTATATTATATTAAAAATTAATTTTACATTCAAAACATCATATCAATATCTATTTATATCACATCATACAACTATTCAAATTTAAAATTTTTACTATTCAAATCTCAATCCAAAATCCAAAGCCCCAAACAAACACACCTCATAACATGGCCAGGATTTCACTTTCAGCATCTTTTATTTATTTATTTATAAATTACTCCCTTCGTCCCGCGAAATTAGTCGCGTTTTTTTTTTTCGCAGAGTTTAAGAAAATTTGATTTATATATTTAATTAATGTGATTAGTTAATATAATATATGTAATAAAATATTATTTTAACTATTTTTATTTGATGAAATATTAAAATAAAAGTTGAAATTTTATTTTATTTTATTTAAATTTAATGTTTTATTTATTGAAATTGTTTTATTTTAAAAAAATATTATTATAGTGATTGTAAATTATGCATGAGAATCTTCTCTCGATAAAAGCATGAACTCAGGTATCCAGGTATTTCGAAGAAGCGGATGATCGGTAACAGCGTAGTCCGGGGATAGACTTTGATAATAGGGCCTCTTCGTTAGTCGGATCCTTCTCTCGAGACATGCCCACTTTGTCACTTCGTTTACCACCAGCCTTAAGGTCCGCTCTAATACCATATGTAACATGTCCAGAAGCTGACACGTCAGGCGCCTAGGCCACGCCCGCGCTGAGGCTCAGACCAGCCGTCCCCTGTGCGCAACACGCCCGGGATATACCATACAGTATGGGAGAATAATGCGGAACACGTACCTGCACCAAGATATGGGTCATTAGTCGGCCGTACATGACAGAGGCTCGCACACATAGAACGGACTATGGCCAAGAACCAGGGGCAGGAATGTCAGCCCGTGACATATGGGTGGCTTGATGGAAAGCCGAGAAATGAGCGAAGCAGGTCGCACTTCCAGTTATTCTCAAAGTTTATGTGCTTGTAAATAATTTATACGAGAATTTTAATAGTGCAATATCAAACGCCCAGGACAAACGTATATTATCTATGTATGAGAAAATTATAGTTTATTTGATGAAATAGTTGCAAGAAAATATAAATCATGCAAGAATAAGGTAAGGAGATATGTTGATTTGTCCGAAAATAATAAAGGTACTAAGAAGGAATAGAGAAAAAGTGTCGGATTGCATTCCTATCAAATCAGATGACACACACTATCATATACCGTGCGCAGATGGGAGGCAACCCAGTGTGATCTTGGCAGAGAGGACTTATCCGTGTCAGGGTAGCAGTTTAATGAAATTTTATGTAATCACACTACATAGGCCTATAATCGTGTGTATCCAAATTCCATCAAAGCTGTAAGTAGCGATGTGTTTTGAGAGCCCACAAATGTTCCGCCATCAAAGCCACCTTGAGAGGCCGAAAAAAAAAAATGAACCCGGGAAGCCTCGAAATTCTACAAAAACAAAATATGGAACTTCCAAGTTGAAAATGAGACAAAATAGTATTAAATGCATAAACCTTGGTGTTAGGGCCACAACGCCGCCCACTGCTCAGATCATCAACAAAATGAGGTTCGTATCATATATTGATTTATTTTAGACAAATGCTACTGTGATACAATTAATAATTTCCATGTAACTTTAATTTGAAGATTGTAACAAAGAAGAGACTATCCACAAAGAAGAGACTATCCACAAACATGGATAGACCATAAGATGGAGTGTAAGTGTTCTTATTGCATACCATTATGATGAAAATTTCTTTATCATGATTATTTTTTTCTTAATACTTCTTCAAGCAGGCCGTATCTATAGTAGGGAAAAATTCACCTTGCAAACTGCTGAGGAGTGCAATATTGGACAAGAACCCACTTACGAGGATCCATGTGAAATGACTTAAATATATAAAAGTACACCGGCAAGAAAGGTTTAAAGTTTTCTGATTGGAGGTCACATATTTGATTTTTATTTTTATACACTTTTACATAGACATCGCAAACTATTATCAAACTTACTGAGGGATAAATTGAATTGGAAAAGTAAGAGTTTGCTACCAATGTAGATGAGGAAAAGGTTGACAAACCTGCACCATGAAAAGAGAAAAGGGCTTTCAATGTTACCCACAAGGTGAAGTTTAAGCGTAATTATCCTAACAAATTTTGTTGAAATAAATTTTCTTTGTACCGAATATCCATTTTTTTTTTTTTTGCAAGTACTAAATGCTAATATTTATGTGAGAAATGTCAAGACACATGATGCATCGCTCGGAGGACAACAACAATCTCTTGAAAGTGCTCCAAACCCAACAATAGTTGTGGTATAATTGTCTACCCAATTATTCTATTTTATATACAATGAACCAAGTAATAAAGAGGAATGTTTTGTTCCTCTCTTGCAGTAATCTCTGAAAGGCAATGCAAAAAGTCACGACGAGCAGCTCCAATAAATACAAACAAGATAAAGCTTGAGTACTTTTTTTATATTTACAGCTCTTGAACACCATTCTCATATGTACAATTTTCATTTATTATGATGTAAATAACATGAATTTTGATTTGCTTTACAGACATGACATGGTAGAAAAGTCATCGAATCACTCCCTGATGCCAACACTCAGGCAGCCATGATAAATGTGAGAAATTCTTTGTGTTAGGGGTAATTATCTTATATTTACTAAAGTTGGTGAAATCTCTTATGATGCAGGGCACAAACTTCGCCGGAAATATTGATATCATCGAGCCGAAACCATCAACAATGTTTGAGCATGTTGAAATATTCCGACCTCAATGGGTTTCGGATGCTCTCAATTACGTTGTGTTTCTTTCTTTGAGCTTTCAATTTATGTCCATAAAAAAAAATTGACACAGCTCGTTGAAGAAAATATGATATAAACAAAAATTAATTGTAATAATTTAAATACAAAAGTAACAACCGTAATACTAAAATTTTTAATATAAACCAAACATCAAATTTTTCAAATTTGATTGGTGATTGAGATAGTTTGATATTACATACCAAAATTTATAACACATGTTTTATATATCGTACCAAAATTTTTAATATGTTATTTTATCGTAACGATATATTGTACCAATAATTTGGTATATCGAATTTATAGATAAAAAAAATACTAAATTACAGAAATAGCACCTACCGTACTAAAATAATACCGAAAATGCCAAATTTCATTATACGAACTTTTTTTGTATGATATCGATATTTTTTTTAATATACCAAAAAATTTGGTGTGGTATACAATATGGTTCGGTATTATATGAATACAGTATCGAATCATTTCTAATCGAATTACATGTATGGTATCAGAATATAATATTTTACGCTTAAATATAAAAATTTAAAATAATTTTACAAATTTAAGAATATATTAGAAAATTAATTATTTTAGTATCAATATACTAAATTATTGATGTAGTTGGATATATCAAATACTAAAAGCAAACTGTATTTATATTTTCTGTATATATTATACCAACAATGCTAAAAGTATATGTAATTGCCGAACTGAAAATGTTCGGTACGGTATTATACCATATAAAATTTACAATATACAATAATTTTAATACTTTGGTATTTTTTCATACGGTACCTGCATTATTTGAGCAAATTGATATTTTTCACTCTTAATAATAGTGATAAATGCATTTTTTAATAAAATATAAAAATCAAATTCTAAATTAAATCTCATTATTAATTAATTTTCAATCATATAATATCAAATCAAATATTTTTTATATTATATTAAAAATTTTAGACATTACATAAACACTTATTTATATCATATTGAATATTTATTAATTTTTATTATTCAAAATTCTAGTCATACTTTTAAATTTATAATAAAACAAACAATAAAAGTTATGAGTATTAGTAATTGAATAAAATATAGTTAAATTTGTAATTGTAATTAATATTTTTTAATTATTACTATATTAAAAAATATAACTAATTTCACAGAACTGTCAAAAAGAAAAAAAATGGACTAATTTGACGGGACATAGGAGTACTTGTGAGGAGTATATTACAATATTATTATTATTATTATTATTATTATTATTTTGTTTATTTATGTATTTATAATTTTTGTAGTTTGGTGTAAGTGCTATTGTGGTACTTCTTCAGTAAGAGACAGCAACTTAGAAACAGTTTCTCAGGAGATCCAGGATCAAAGCTCCGGAAAAAATCTACACCATGCATTTCATAGATCTCAAATTCTGGACCTCGAGTCCCTGGAGTGGCTCAAGAAAAAATCTAACTCCACTGCAAAGTCATTCAGTACACTTGACTAGTATAAAACCAGAAAATCTGGTTACATATTAAAATTCTATTTTTTTTTAAATTTGTATATTAATTGTTGTTTGCCGTTTTGAAAAGGAAATATAACTTCAAATATAATCCAGAATCTTATTTGGACAACTTGGGATGATTCATGAGGAAAATCATTATTAATTATTTATATATATTTATATATATAATAATTATTTTAATATACACAAAAAAATCAACTCCCATTAATAACCCTATATTTATTTATTTTATTTATTTATTTATCAATGTGTTATATATATTTGAGCAATTTCCATTGCTATACCACTTCTCTACTATTGTCTCCCAATGGACAAAATCTATAGTTGCAAGATTTGCTTTAGGAGCTTTGGCAATGGTAAGGCTTTGGGAGGTCACATGAGGTCTCACGTGATGAGAGAGAAAAGGGCTTTAAAATACCGCGACGGCGGCGGCGACGACGATCAGATTGAGTATAGTTCCGATAATAACAAAAACGAGAACGGAAATGAGAAAATCGAGATTCCGGATCGGGAAAGCGAATCCGGACCGCCGTTGCCTAAAAGGTTCCGGAAATCCGAGGTAAGTTTCGATGATTCCGATGTTGTCGGAAATCTTACCACGGAGGAGCACGTGGCGCATTGTTTGATTTTACTATCACGCGACCGCCGCGGCGGCGGCGGGATCGCGCGGCGGAAGAAGCAACACACGTGCCAAACGTGTGGCAAAGTGTTCGATTCTTACCAAGCACTTGGAGGGCACAAGGCGAGTCACCGGAAAGTCAACGTCAACGCCGGCCGGCCGGAGAGAATCCACAAGTGTCCGTTTTGTCTTAAGATTTTCGCATCCGGTCAGGCCCTCGGGGGACACAAGAGGTCGCACTTTGTTGGAAGGACTTGGAGTCCCGCTACTGTTAGCACCGTTGGATCCACATCGGACGGTGGAGGATTGCTGGACATTGATCTGAATTTACCTGCGCCGGTGGATGACGACAGCAACAGCCAGAATGCTGCTGCCTCGGCATTGACTGACGTCAGCAATGCATAACTTCAAGGTAACAAATTAAATATTAAAATAAATAATAATTTTTATATATATAGAAAAAAAAAAAACTATATTGAAATTTTCCATTTATTTTTTTATTTTTTTATTTTTTCATATTGCAGAAATGTGAATGTAATTCAGTTACTTTTCAATTTCTGCTCGTCGGATTAATTTATTCAGTTTTTTGTCCCCTGCAGTTTGGTAATTACATACAATGTGGTATTTTTTTATTATTATTATTATTATTATTTTAATTATTTTAGCTGCCATAACCCATTCTCTAAATAATGATAATTTAGTCAAACGCGTAGACTTTAAGTAGAACTTATTTGGTAGAAGGTCCAGGATCATTGGTTTCATTACTCAAACGCCGACGTTTAACGACTGCATAATGTTTGTATGAATTGATTTGTCCCTTGGCTCTGAGGACCAGGACTTTCTAAGCATTTTCCTACAGTTGAAACAGTTTTGACTGAAATAAAAAAGAAACATATCCAATATATATCGCTGACAAATTGTTATAAATTTTTGGTAAGTTGACGGATATAAATTATTGTTATCAATTTTTTGAAATTTTTTTATATATTTTTATATATATTTCATCGAGGAAATATGTAATATAATTATTTTATACTTCAAATATATTATATATAAATGTAAATTTTTTATTTTTTTTCTAAACTCAATGTAATAATTTATCATTTTGTTTATTTTTTATTTTAAAATATTTATTTTATATAGTAATAAAAGTAATTTATATATAAATATCAAAATATTTTTAATTACAAAATATTTGTTTTTATTTTTTACTTGCAAGAACAAAAATATTAATATTATCTTACATAGTTCTACTAATCACTAAAATATTTAGGGTAAATTATATAACACCCCCTTATATTTTAGTAAAAATGTACAAAACACTCTTTGTTTTATTTATTGCGTGAAACTCCCTTGTGTTAATGTAAAGTTTGCATGAAACATTCTTTTGTCCAAAATTGATATTCGGTTCTAAATAAAGACCTAAGTTACGCAAATTTTATATAAATAAAAAATGCAAAATATATTAAATAATTTTTTTAATAAAATAAATAAATAAATAAATAATTATTCATTTTATACTTTTTTAAGACAAATTGTTATTTGATTTTTACAAAAATTGTAAAAATAAATTATTGATCAATTATTTATTTATTTATTTATTTTATTCAAAAAAAATTATTTAAGATATTTTTTATTTTTTATTTCTATAAAACTTGCATAATTTAGATCTTTATTTAGACCCGAATATCAGTTTTTAACAATGGGGTGTTTCGTACAAATTTTATATTAACACAAGGGATTTCACGCAATAAATAAAACATAGGGTGTTTTGTGCATTTTTACTAAAATACAAGAAAGTGTTATATAATTTACCAAAATATTTATTTCACAATCTATTACAAAAAGCAAATTTACACTTTGAGTTGAGATCGAGAAAGTATAAAGTAAACAATATTTTTTTCCTTCATGTTTTTTTCGCTTTTGACTATAAAAATGTAATATTTTTTTTAAAAAAATATCATATTAAAATACACTTTAGATATAATTGCATGGCCGAAATATTATATACATTACATAAATTTAATCTTTTATATAATACTTTAATTATAATTTTTATAATCTTTTAATATAATAAGATATTTTGTGAAAGAATAATACTCCTATAAAATTACAAAAAAAATATAGATCAGCACAATAAAAATAACTTAAATAAAAATTAAATTTAAATATTTTTTATAAAAATCTAAAATTTTCTATAAATTATTGTTCTCAAAATTAAAAAAAATAAATATATAAACTAAACACTTGGAATATATATGAATGATAAAATTATGGTGCTATTAGTTTTGTAAATAATATGAGATTATATTAAAATATAAAAATTATACAATTTAAATATTATATAAAAATATTTGAATACAAACTAATTTTGGATATAAATTTTATTTTATTTTAAAATAGAATAAAATTAATAAGTAATAAAGGATAAAGTTAAAAATAAAAAAGTAAAACACATAAGTCTTAAGTTATTTGTATGGCCTCTTTCTTACGCGTGTTCTATTTTCATTGGTCTGAATAAAGCGAACAGAGAGAAATTGAGAATAGATGATTTGATTTCTTGTTTTATGAAATAATAAACAATTATTTTTACCAAATAAATGCAATTTTAATTAAGACAGTGGTCGGTAGTGTTTGTCTTTTAGTAATTCAATTTGTTAGGATTGTACCGTAATTTTTTTTTTTTTTTTAAAAAAAGAAAATGCTAAAATAATTCTAAATATTAAAAACTCATGTTTTATCCCATGAAATGAGTATTGCATTCGGTAACAAAAATAATCATGGCCCGAAAGCTCGGTTCAAGTACGACACGAAAAAATCGTGTTTGAGCCTCCAAAATCAAGTCCGATAATTTTTGGGCCATGCTTAGCCCGGCACACTGATGAACTGGGCTATGCCCGAACTCAAGAAATTCGGGCCGTGTCTGATCCGACACGATTTTTAAAATTAATATTGAACTTTTAATACATTTATATATATATTAATGTTTAAAATAAAAACAAAAATTATAACATGATTGAATGGTAAATGTCTTAGTTGGTATATATTTGATTGTAGGTTCAATTTTCCACTTCAAAAAAATTTATTTAAATCATATGTTAAAAGTAAAAATAGCAAACAAATTGCAACAAAAATAATATTTTTTAATTGATAAAAAAAACTGTTGAACTAAATTGTAATCAGATTGAATCGATTTTTAAAGTATTTTTTTGATATGAGATATAAGAATCGTTGTCTTTAATATATAAAATAATAGTATTTTATATTACATGCTAAATTTTAGTGAGATTATAAAATGTATATTCAAATTCTGAAAATTAAAAAAATGTTGAGTTATTTCTTGCAATCTCAAGTTTTTCGATACATTTCGTCATTAATATTAGTATTAAATAATACTCTCACTATCTCATATAAAATGTCAATTTTATTTTATTTTTCATTTAAATATGTCCTACATAATTTATTATTTTCTTTTTAAAAATAAGATTATACACTTTAATCATATTTTAAATTTTACAATTTATATATTTTTTAATTTTATTAAAAAAAATTATTTAGTTATCTTAATTTTAATTTATAATTATTTTACTAATATACTTTTAACTTACTTACTAATTATAATTTAAATATAGGAGTATATATTTACATAAAATCTATAATAAAAATTAAGTAAAATTCTGATTCAATATTTCTAATGACTGTCCTCTATATATTAAAAATAAAATAAATTTTAATATATTTGAATGCATCAATACTAGAAATGTAAGAATATATAAGATGTATAAAAATTATAAGATGAAAAAAAAAAAAGCAATAATAAAAAAAATCAAATATAGAAGTAATGCAAAAAATAAAATAAATTTCACAAAATTCATATCCTACTTTATAATTAAAATCTATATTAAATTAAAATAATTTTGAAAAGAATTTATGTAATCAAGGAGAAAGAAATTTTGTTGGAGTTTTAAAATATGAATCTATTCAGTACTTTTAAAAATCTTTTAAAATCTGAACATATTGAATCCAATCTTTTAAAAGTCATTTAAAATATTAAGGTATTCAATCGAGACTTTTAAAATTTTTTTAAAATTTTGAGGTATTCAACCATTCAAAAACTTTTAAAATTCATGGATTTAATTGAATTTTAACGGACAATTATAAAAAATTTGTACACAATAAAATCTCTCGTGGTAAAAAGAGATATTTGATGAATTCTTAAAATTATTATTATTACTATTACTATTATTACTGTTGATCATATATAAATGGTAAAAAATATGACTATATTTATTAATATTATTTTAAATATTTAATAAAAATAATAGCTAAAACTAAATTATATTAAAAAATTATTATCATTTTTTTTAAATATGTGTTTTTATATTATAAATATAATACTATTTGAAAATTATTATTATAGTAATAAATATATATTATTTGTTTTTTTTATAAAATTATCGAATACACTATATTTTTGATAAAGTTAAATAAATATATATTTTAACAGTTAGTTATATTTATTTATTTTTTAATCTTTTATTTAATTTGTATATGCAAAAATTGTAAATGCAACTTTTCCATTTTTGGTGTGTTTCTTTGTTAACAGAGTTTTGAATTAGTTAGACTTAATTTTGTTGAGCCCCCCATCATCATTTATTTTTTTAAAAAAATATTATTCCCTACGTATCGGTGCAAGATTGTCATTTACTTTCTGCACGTAAATTTTTTAATATTAGTATTATAATGAATTGTAGTAAAAAAGACGAAAATATCCCTATTAGTATTGTGTAATATAAAAATAATGACATTTGTGTAATATAGTGTAAGTTGGAATAGTATTTATTATGTTAGGTATGTAGTACAATTACTAAATTAGAAAATGATAACCTTGTTTAAGGATAGACGAAAATGGAAAGTAGCAACCTTTCAATTGGACGGAGAGAGTATATTAATTAATATAACTACAATTACGACAAAAAATATATTTATTGATAATTAAAAATTTTAACATTAAAGATGAAATTAATATTTTATTTTATTATATATTTATAATAAATTAAAATTATTTAAATTAAAAATTCAACTTGGTTTGCAGAGCCCAGTCCGGCCTGGTTTTTCAACCTCACAAGGTTGGCCCGAACCAAAAATTATTTGGGCCTAAAATTGAAGCCCAAATACTTATTTTTATGCTATAATGTCACTATCTTCGCCATGGAAGCAAATGACTCATTGTAATCATTTTCATACACTTGGTGTGTTTGTTTGAAGGATTTTGGAGGATTTCCACTATTCATCCAATTTTTTCTCCCCAAAAACATCAAATCAAACACCTATTTTTCATTTTTTATATTATACTAAAAATCAATTTTACATTCAAAACATCACATCAAACCCTATTTATATCACATCATACAACTATTCAAATTCAAAATTTTTACTATTCAAATCCCAATCCAAAATCCAAACCTCCAAACAAACACACCCCAAGGTAGATATTCTTTAGCAAGTACGTATGTCTTGTACTTCGTTATGTTGGATTAAATGGGCATGGCCAATAAATAAATAATATTTAATTATTTTTTTAAAAATTAATCTAATTAATTTGGTACACCGACGCGTCGTATTTTTACTCGCCAAATAATTGATTGCAAAATAGAAATGAAAATTGTATCATTTTTCTTCTTTGTTTGAATTAGAGAAATAGAACTTGAAAAATAAATCATTTTCATTTCCCTGTTTTCATTTCTTTATAATGTGCAGAGAAATGATGTTGCAGTATATATATTATTTTTTTATTTTTTTGTAATATTTATTTTTTATAATATTTTTGAAATTATACTATTTCAACTTTACAAAAATGAAATTTAATTTATTGTTAAAGTATTTAAATTTTACAATCTTTTAAAATTGTACTAAAATATAATTTTAAAAAATATCGTATATAATTTATAATTTTTTTTTTTAAAAAGTCATCAAAAATATTTTTCATTAATTCTCATTTGTTAAAACTCTTTTTTTATCTGGTTATTCATTTATTCTTATATGATCATTCATATAACTGTATTTTTTTTTTATATTTCTCAATTGAATTCTCTCTTTTACCGAACAAGAGAATTAATTATCATTCTCTTGCTCAATTTCATATCTCTTCAATTTTATTCTTTACTGTCACTTCTCTATAATTTCATTATCGGTACCAAACGCCTCTTACATGTGTTCCTTTGTAATAAAATTTCCAAAACCTCCTTTAGAGGCACTGTACAAATCATTTCGAGCGAACCAAATCGCCTACAAGCGACCAGTTATGCTGCTACGTAGTAGGCTCTGACATCTTTGACTTTTTTTTTTTTTAATTAATAAACACAATTATAATTTTTTAATAATAATAATTTAATAAAATATAACAATATACATATTATTTTATACATAATAAAATTTTATATAATATAAATAAATAAAAAAAGCTAACCATTTATGTATAATTAATACAAACTAATACTCAAATTATACCAATTTTAATTTCATAAACTTAATATAATATATATTTTATATCATTATTATTTTACATATTAAATCAATACACATAAAAAATTCTCAAATCCAAACAAAACCTACTGACTCAAAGAACGCAATTTTCCAAAACTACAGAAAAAGAAAAAAAAAAATTCAAATCAAAACCAAACTCAAATTAAATCTTTCGGAACTAATTTCAAAGAAACACACCATTAGATTCATTATATGTGTGGATTTGCTTAAATGTAACTCCAAACTAGTTATGAATTTGAGCAATAAAAGTATCTCTTATTTTAGTTCGTTGGAATTTCGAAATATTTGAGTGCCTTCTATTTCTGAGGCTGAATGTCATTTATTTTAGAGAATATTATGCCACGAATTGAAGATGTTACTGGGGGTATTTATTTTTACGGAGAAAAATTCTATTTCGATTCAATGTGATTATCGAATTTATTTCGATAAATTATTGTAATATTGAATTTTATTATTTCAATAAATTTGATATTTTCGAGATATAATAATATTTATCGAAAATAAAATTTTAAATTAAAATAATTATTTAATTTGATATACAAAATTATTAATATCATTTTTTAATTTGATGCTCTTAATAAAAAAACACAATAAATCAAAAAAAAAAAAAAAAAAAAAAAAAAAAAAAAAAAAGAAGAAGAAGAAGAAAGGTAGTATAGCGACAATGGTGGTGGAGTGTGAACAGCGGATTTTGTAATACTACGACTTTTAAAATTTTTTAGTATTTTCCAGTTGTTGGTTTATATACGGAGTAATATTTAAATTCATTTATATTTCTGTACCGTGAAATGCGGTGTGCACATTTTCCAAAAATTTCGAAATTCCTCCGCCGCCGGGAGCCGCCGGAAATCGGCCAAATCGTTTGTCTCCGGCGGGTGGGTAGGCGATCCGCTTTGAAATGAGTAACGGCGAACTCCTCAAAATCGAACCTCTGGAGCTTCAATTCCCATGTACGTTATATACTTTTGTTCTATGCTTTCTTAATTGGATTGTTGGTTTTTGTTTGCGATAATTTGCTGCTTAATAACTGGTTGTGGAAGGATGTGGTGTTGGGGAAGTAGGGAAGACGATAATTAGATTGTGCTGACTTTTATATCTGGCTGTGAATTTTTCATTATTTGATGTTTGTTGTTACCGTTTATGTTCTTCAAAAGTCGAATTGAAGAAGCAGATCTCATGTTCGATGCAATTGACTAACAAGACCGACAAGCATGTTGCATTCAAGGTAGAATTTGATTTTGTTGTTGTTCTTGTTTTAGGTTTAGATTTTCCTTATTTTTGTTTATACTGCATTAACCTGAACATGTAATATTCGAATACTCAGGTGAAGACTACAAATCCAAAAAAGTATTGTGTGAGGCCAAACACTGAAATTGTGGGTCCTAACTCTACATGTGAAGTTGTAGGTCTGTCTCGTCGTATAAACCTTCATTTAGTTTTATATTCTTTCCTCATTTGATTTATGTAATTGTGAGAAATAGATATGAATTGTTCCTTTCTATATTTGTGAATGTTCTTGAAGGAATAATGTTATAATTAGAAGGAAAGTTGTGAGCGTTATTGTTCGGATTATTGAACCCGTAACTATGGTTATTCAGTTACAATGCAAGCTCAAAAGGAAGTTCCACCAGACATGCAGTGCAGGGACAAGTTTCTACTCCAGAGTGTAATCATGGGCCCTGAATATGCCGTCAAGGATATTACAGCTGAAATGGTATGTTATCCTATAGTCTCTACAGATTAATATGGGAGGTCTGAAGGGTGTGTTTGTTTGGGGGTTTGGAATTTGGGTTGGGATTTGAATATTAAAAAATTTGAATTGGAATAGTTGTATGATGTGATATAAATAAGTATTGATGTAATGTTTTGAATGTAAAGTTGAATGAGAAATAGGTGTTCGATATGATATATTTTTTTTATGGGGAGGGGAAATGAGTATGAATAGCACAAATCTTTCAAAATTCTTCAAACAAACAGAAATATTGATACATGTTTGCATTGTCTCCTTTTACAGTTTGCTAAAGACTCTGGAAATTTTGTTGATGAATGCAAGTTGAGAGTTGCACATATTCCACCCCAACAACCACCTTCACTGGTGCGAGAGGGGTCAGAGGAGGGCTCCTCACCGAGGGCCTCAGTTTCAGATAACGGTGTTTCAAACTATGCTTCTGATTTCAACTTTGTGAGTATTGGGATGTTGTTATACTGAGAGGATATCGTGTTTTTGCCCACCATTCATATCGATTAACAAGTCTATCTTTATTTATGTATATATATTTATTCTTTCGCAATTGCAGATGTCAAAAGGCTTTGCGGATTCACAGGAAAACACTCCAGAGGTATATGTTCGAACTAATTAGTGACTGTTTATATGTTTGAGATCTATTTGTGGTCCTTGAGTCGCGGTTTTCATTTGACTCACATCAGTTCTAGCCACTATCATTTATGCACTTTTTGATTGGATGCCGTTATTTGGAACCTTTTGAATTGTTTAGAACTTCACTACATGATCTTCTTCTCCAATCGGTAGGAAGGCCAGTGATTTGGTTTGATTGTTTGTTGGTTTCAATCTTCGATGAGGTGATTAATTAGCTCCCAGTTGATATTGGTACGAGAATCCTAAGTGTAGTTAACAGCGAGATGAAGTGTTTCTTATTCTGCTTTTACATGTATTTAATGGTCATTGCAGATAGAGATGGTAATTTAACTACTACAGTGAAAATGTAGGTTAGAAATGTTAATTGGATTTACTAGCTGACCTTGATGCTATAGTTTTATTTCTTCATCTGAATTGCGTTTCTACTATTTCAGAAGACTGATCAATTAAGCCTGGAAGTTTTGTTGTTTCGTGATAGCAAGTTAGTAACTTTTAAAACCTGTTGGTTTAAACATGCAACGAAAGGGTTGAAGATGCATCGAATGCTGTATGAGTTTACGCAATGTACCCAATAGAACTACTGTAAAATTTTGTTCTGGTTAAAATGACATGGTAAAAACTTGTATGCATATAATTTTATTGCTCAATTGCTACCTGTTTGATCAAGGATGGCTAATTTGAGATTGATTTCTAAAAGGTTTCTTTTCAACCATAGAAAGTTGAAATTTATAAATAATAGTGATTATATAAATACATACATATAATATTTTTTGTTCTGTGGAGATGGATGTAAGCTTAACCTCTAATATATCAATATTCCTTGAGGTGCTTTTATTCATCAATGTGTAACGATGCGCATTGGGGAGCTGTCCCATAAGTTATTTTCTAATTTTAGACGACATTTGATTGTAAATATTGCTCGAAATGCACACTATATATATATATATATATATATATTGGTTTTCAGGTTAAGGCCCTGATTTCCAAGCTTACTGAGGAGAAACGGTTGATTATTCAGCAAAATGACAAGCTTCGGCAAGAACTGGTAACCAGTCACCCAATTTTGAATTTCTTGAAGCCCTTTTTCATTTATTTTATTATATATATATATATATTGTGGATAACTCACTTGTTGCAACAATGAATGAGTCGACAGGATCTGCTGAGGCGTCAAGGAAACAGAAGCCGGCGGGGCGGGGGAATAAGGTACATGTAGGTCGTAATTGTTGGGTTGATAGGCATCCTCTTTGGATATCTCTTTAAGAGATAAAAATATGATGATTGTTTGTGTGTGTGTTGGGGTTTGAGGGCAAAATATGATGAGCAGCCATTGACAGAAGGTGATGAGACAGAGAGTTTATGCATGCCTGAATGAGGTTTGTTGTCTCTTCCAACTAAAATAATCTGCTCTGCATTCATTTGTGTGACAAATTTCTTAATTATTATTATTACTACTACTTTTTTAACTTATTACGCATTATCATACACTCTTTACTTTTCTCCACACATTTCTTACAGTAGTGAACCCTCTAGATGGTGTATTTGTTTGGGGTTTTGGATTTTGAATTAGAATTCGAATAATCAATACTTCTTCCGATCCATAACAAACTATTCATTTTTTTTTTCATTTTAGTCCATCCTATAAAATATTTATTTTATTTTTTTAGTAACTTAATATTACAAATACCTTTACGATTTATAATATATTACACAAATGTCATTACCTATGTATCACAGATACATAAGGTTATTTTAGTCATTTATATTTTATTCTTAGGGTGTGTTTGTTTGGGGGTTTGGATTTTGGATTGGGATTTGAATAGTAAAAATTTTGAATTTGAATAGTTGTATGATGTGATATAAATAGGGTTTGATGTGATGTTTTGAATGTAAAATTGATTTTTAGTATAATATAAAAAATGAAAAATAGGTGTTTGATTTGATGTTTTTGGGGGAAAAAAATTGGATGAATAGTGGAAATCCTCCAAAATCCTTTAAACAAACACACCCTTACTATATTTCAGTATAATACTAATATTTTTAAAATTACGTAAAAAAAACAAACATATACTTAGTTATGGGAAGAAGGGAGTATTTTGAATTGAAATAGTTTTATTATGTGATATAAATATGTGTTAATGTAATATTTTTAATATAAAATTAAAAAAAATTAAAAATAGACGTTTAATTTGATGTTTTTTAAGATAATATTTGATGAATAGTAAAATTTGAAAATAATCCTCCAAACAAACACACATTGTAAACCGGTAATGAGTTGATTCTTATAAATAGGTGAAATCACTCGATTCTAAACACAATGTTTAATTTTGAGTTCAACGCTGTAGCCGCGGCCTTTGAAAACACCTCAATTTTTAATTTGAAAATTAAATTAAAACATTATATAAAAATTATTTTAGGTTTAATTATTTTGCTTTGTTTCTAATCAATTCATAAAACTTAAATTAATAAAAAAATTATAAATTTATAATTTATGAATTATAATGAGTAATATTCATTTAAAATATTATTACTAAAATAGTTATATCATAAAAAATAAATGAATAATCTAATTATTAAAATAATTAAATACTATGGGCTTATTTGACTCTATTCTAACTAAAATTTTTATTTGAATTTTAAATATTTGAATTTTTTATTTTATAAAGGGTGTGTTTGTTTGGAGGATTGGATTTAATTTTCACTATTCTTCCTATTTTTTTCCCCAAAAATATCAAATTAAACACCTATTTTTTATTTTTTATATTATATTAAAAATCAATTTTACATTCAAAATATCACATAACACTTATTTATATCATATTATGCAACTATTTAAATTCAAAATTTTTACTATTCAAATCTCAACTCAAAATCGAAACCCCCTGAGACAAACACACCAATAATATATTTATTAGTTATGAAGAGTATTAACGATGGGGGTGTGTGTGAAGTGTTTGCCCATTGCTCCAGTCCTTTTCTCGTTTTCTTTTTTTTTTGTTTTTTTAAATTATAAATATGAAAAAGAGTTATAATAATTATAATTTAATAAAATATACACGATGTATATATATATTTATTTATACAAAATAATTTTTTTTTATAATATAAATATATAAAAATTTAAAAATATATATAAATATAATATAAATTTATAATTAAATTATACATATTAATATATTTATATTATTATATTTCTATTCATTAAATCAATAGATATCAAAATTCTTCGAATTCCAACCAAATTTAAACCTAAAAGAAACATCAAAGTTCAATCTCACCTCAAAATTCAAATAAAAATCAAATTTAAATTCAAATTTCACCGAAATCTCTTACAAAACGCACTCATAATTTAGAATTAAATTAATTTTAAAAACAAATCCTAATAATAATAGGGAACCAACCACCAGCCTCCAGGCTCCAGCATATCTGGAACTCCGTATTTCTACCCAGCGCCACCGCAGAAGCCTGCTCTACAGCGATCCCGCCGCCGACGTTGGTTTCCTTCACCACCGTGTACTGCCATGCCACCGATTTTCTCCTAGTCTCGTTTTCCGAAGCGTTTCTCGCTTCTCAATGGCTCCGCAAGTTTCAGGATTCGATAGAATTTCTTCAATCCGTGCTCACTATGGCTTCCACCGTCGACTGGCGTCTCCAAAATTGGCCAATAGACTGGATGTCAACAAATTTAGGTTCAATTTGGAAGTGCTTAGAATTGGTGCGCGGGGGTGTTTTAGTGTTCCAGCTGGTGCTTGGATGAAACGTTGCCGGCGTTTGAACTTTTCCGTGGCTAGGGGTAACCAGCCGGAACGGGTTGAGCTCGTAACCAATGAGGTAATCAGTCTGTTACAGACATCAAGTGTTGGTGATTCTGAATTCTAGTATTTGATTACAATTGAGAGTTTTTTCATTATGTGAATCCTTGTTTCGCCTTTGATTAGACATGGAATTGAATATGTCTACAAATGTAGGGAAATGTAAAATTAGTTTGGTGTGTTTATTTGTTTGGGTTTTGGTTTTGAATAGTAAAATTTTGATCTGAAATAATTGTTTCTATGCTATATAACACTAAAATTGAATTTTAGAGTAATATAATAAATGAAAAAAAAAAAAAAGAGGTATTTGATTTGATATTCTTGGGGAGAATTTTTTTTTGAAATAGTAAAATCAAAACCAAAATTGTACAAGTAAACACACCCTTTGTACTCCCTCCCCTCCGTTCACCAAGGATGACCTTTTGGTTAGGAAGTGTATTTTATAGGTAGCTTAGATTAGTTGGTGTTTTAAATTTTTATAGGAGTATATTTCAATAAAATATATGCAAAATGAATATCGAGAATAAAATTTTATATAATATAAATAACATAGAAAATATATTTATTTATTTATAATTAACTTAAAACTAATTTTATAAAAAATGAGAAGTTTTAAATATAGATAAGAATATTTGTTTATTGATGAGAGACAGAGATGAAGGGGGTTTTGAGTGGCCGTGTAAAAAATTAGAAATTTAATTAGATTGATTTATATTTGTTAAATATATTTAAAATGAATAAATTTACTAAAAAATATAGAAAGAGATGGAGGGAGTACTATTAATGTGTTGGTTATATCCAGATGTGATTTATTACAATAAGTTGACTTGATTCCAGGTCCGGTCGAAGCAGAATGTGTGTATTAATAGTTTTTATCTGTTAGTACAATATATTTATACCATCTGAAGGGTTGATGTGCGTACTAGGTGTAATGAAGTAATCAATTGATAGAAACAACAGATGATGTTTGAGGACACATAAGATGTCAACAAATTATTAACATTTGCACGGTAGAGAAATGCACAAAGTGATTCATGCTAATGATACGACTAAAGCATGTGTCGAACTGGAGAGAAATGAATTCATATTTTCACACTTTGCATGACTCGGGTGTTGGGAATATGTTATGCTTAGTTTCACTGTTCTATTGATGTAAAATTCTGGAGGATGTTATCCGGTTCTTATCATGGATATGCTATAGGAAGGTAAAAGAGACAGCCAATCATCCGAGGAGGCCAATTTAGATTCGCAACGTCAACAAAGAACAAGTCAGGTGAGGAAAAGGATTAGTTTTGGACTGGGCATTGGATTCTCTGCTTTAGGGGTGGTGTTGGTTGGGAGTTGGGTTTTCACTATGGCCATTGCTACTGCAATACTTATTGGCTCTAGGGAGTACTTTGAGCTGGTAAGAAGTCACGGAATTGCTTCTGGAGTGACCCCTCCACCCCAATATGTGTCACGAGCTTGTTCTGTTATCTATTCTTTAATGCCTATACTCACACTGTAAGAGTCTTGCCTAACTTCTGTCAATTCTAGCTATTCTTCAATATTTGCATAGGTGTTGCCTTTTGAATATTCTGTAAGTGCAAGGAGATTGCGTCTCTGAGTATGTGATTACTATGTTTGATATTTCTCTTTCTTTGTTCCACCACAAACAATTATGCTTTTTACTTAGTGATTTTATATTTTTTGCTGTTGCAAGCTTTGTTTGGATCGTTGGATAAAGGTTTGAATGTTTGAAAGGTGAGAAAGAATGTGGTCTTATTGAAACAATTATAATGCTTAGTTTATCACTGAGGATGATGAAGTTAGCTTACAAGACATATATACTACACCAAAAGAACACATCCAAAAATTCTTATTTTAGGAACCATAATCTTAGCTCAATTGACCGAAAATTCTAACAGTGTCAGCGTGAAGTATGTCACTTCTTAGTTCTTTCTGTATATGTTCCATTCAGTGCTGAAGTTTGAAAATAACATTTTTCTAGGATTTTGAGTGACTATTGATATTTTAAGTTGATTATTGCCTTTTCTCAGAATTGCCTTGTGCCTTGTGCTTTCCTTGATCTGATGGGTTTATGTTCATCTTTCTAACTTATTTGGAATCAAGAGTTCTCATAACTAGTCTGACGTTACCTTATATAACAATAAGGTGCTCTTTGGTCTTGCTGAGTGGCATACTTGAAGTGCAAAAGATCCTTTTATTTATGATTGGTTTATTACCCTTCCTCATTGATACCTTGCTTCTTTTGTTTATATAGAAAAAAGGGCATAGTGTCTCACAGCTTTCATAGCTTTCATACGAGTACGATGCCATCTGGTTGTGGGCTGGGAAGAATTTTGTCATTGCTTGAACATATTACATACATCTAAGTTTACAGGAAAAATTCCATCTTTGGGTTGGTGCAAGTCTTTATGTGAACGGTACCAAAAAAGAGAGAAGAAAAACTACTGTGTCAGATAGCTATCTATAAGGATCAAATAATTTTTTTGCTGAGAAACTACATTAGCTATTAGTTGCACCTCTTGCTTATGCTTCACTTGCGTGTTACACATTGTGTGCCTTTTATTTCCATTAGCTTCTTTTTATGGGAAACTTTATTGATAGCCTGTTAAAAATGGATAAGTCAACTTTGCATGGACTTCATAGTAGGTCAATGACGACGATCTTATTGATTAAGACACATTTACCATTTGATTGATTTTTATCACTGATGACCATCTCCAATTTTGTGTTAGGTACTTGGGGAATATTGATGTGTCTGTAACAACCGCAGCCTTTCTTGTCACTATGGCCCTCCTTTTGCAGCAAGAGAGTCCTCGATTCACTCAACTTAGTAGTGCCATTTTTGGGTTACTCTACTGTGGCTACCTTCCTTGTTTCTGGGTCAAGCTGCGCTGTCTAGAAGCTCCATCCCTAAATACCAGTAAGACAGTTAATTATCGTATTCTTAATTAGAGAATCAGAAGTGCTCTTGAGGGTTTGTTTATTTGTGGGATTTTGATTTTGGGTTTTGGTTTTGAATAGTAAAATTTTGAATTGAAATAGTTATTTGATGTAATCTAAAATGTATTGATGTGATGTTTTGAAGTAAAATTACATTTTAGTTAATATAATAAATGAAAAATAAGTATTTGATTTGATATTTTTGAAGAAAAAAATTTGGAATAGTAAAACCAAAACCGAAATCGCACAAGTAAACACACCGGCCTGATTTTGGTACAGGATCCTGATTTCCTGACCAGTTTGTTATGATATCTATGCGTCACTCTTACTAGTTTTCAAAAAGAAAGGTTTTGTTTACTTATGTTTTCTAAACTTTTTTTTTCCATTCTTCACAAAAAATTTATCTTGAAAACATCGTATCCAAGCCTATTTTTCATTTAAAATGGATTGGAATATATTTTTTATCCAAAACATCACATCCAACGCCTATTTATATCTAAGTCAAATATTTATTTATTTTTTTCGACTTTTTACTATTCACAAAACAATAAAAAATCTAAAATACTTCCATAACATATCTAAACACACCCAAAAAGTTTTTCGGAAATAACTTTTATTCTCATAAATGTTTGTTTGCTACTGTTGTCGATAGAAACAAAATAAAGTATAAAAACAATCAAACGTAATCAATCGTTTACCCAAGAACAATGAAACAATACCAACCATTTTTCCAAATCCCGATGGCTATTTTATTTCCAAAATTCGAGATTGATAGTCTCCAACCTAATTACTTCTTAAATACTAACCTACACTCTACTTACTAAAAATAGAACAAGTCCACCAAATAACTAAAGGGCAAGCCCAATTCAAAAAATAATATATTAATAGAAAAACAAATAAATAATATCTAAATCCGCGAACATCAGCCTTAAGCCCATCCCTGTCGTCAATACACAAGCATCGGCTGAGGCTCCACTTTCTCTTTAATCATAATTTCATGCACTTTTCAATTTTGTTTTCTATCAATTTCACCTCTCTTTGAATCGACCTTGTCCCCAAGTTCGAAGTATGAGAATTGGAATGAGCTTTGATCTTTCTTTGTTTTTTCTCCTTCAAGGACTTGATCCAATGTCTTTTAGGCTAAGGTTGTCACCCGTCAACACTACTTGGCCACGGTTCCACTCAAAAGACATAGTAAGAGCTTCCCAATTTGTTTGAACATCACCCAACGTGGCTAGCCAAGCTATACCGAAAATAATATCACCACACTCGAAGGGAAATACAAAACAATTGGTTGAACCTTACAGCCCTGTAATGAAACTGTAACATCTTGGCATAATTCTTTTGATTCCCATCTTCGTCCATCCCTTAACCGAACTACAAATCTTTTTGTACCATGGGGTGATAATCGTAGAGTGGATACTAAGAAAGAAGATATAAGATTGTGACTAGCGCCACGATCGATCAATATTATTACCTTCCTTCCATAACTCCATGCAACCACTTAGTCCGTTGGTCTTCTGTCGATGCATCTGCTTGCTCTCACATCCAATCTTCATGCCTTGTAGGTACATATAATTCAAACTATTGAAGATCTAAGATCTCTTCGGCTTCTTCAGCTATCATGACTTACAATTGTTTGAGAAGGCATTCATGTTTTGGGGTGTATGGTTTCTTGCAACGAAAACACAGTAATTTTGCTTGCAATGTAGCACATTCTTGGGGTGAGAATCGGATAAATCGATTTCGGACTGCTAACTGACTAGTTGCCTTCAATTGAGCCACAGAAGGATGACTGGAAGGTTTTCTAATAGATCCGTTATGGTTGGCTCCTATTGTTGAAACCCTAATCATGTTGTTGGTCGGGCAATAGCGCTTGCGTGCGGTGTCGGGCTGCTCAAATTTAGATATGGATATTTGTCAACTTGCACCTGAAGATTATCTCAATGTCTCTAGACAACTTCATGGCCGTCTCATCTAGGCCGAAGAAGGCTGAGAGAACTTCAAATCGAGTCTTTTAGACATTTTATAAAGTGGCTCAAATAGTGCTCAAACCCGAAACTTGGCTAGCCAATTGAAAAAATAAAGTTACGTATTCAGCCATCCACCGATCCCTCTTGTATAATGTCTGTCAATCGAAGGATTTTCCTTGAAACTTGTATCAAATTTCGGCACCAATGTTTGCAAAAATTCTTTCCATGTCAGCCCCGGTTTGCGAGAGCATAACTAGGTTGACCAGTACAATGCAACTTTTTCCATGGCCATCAGTGCTACAAGAACCTTCATCTCTGGACTGATATTATGAATTTCAAACTGTTGGTTGGCTTGGCCAATCATCCTATCGAATCTGAACCATTAAAGGATGGAAGTTGTATAGAGCCCGTCTGCGATCGAGAGTCAATCGCTGGCTGCAGTTGCATAGTGGCCGGGGGTGGCGGTGTTGGTTGCAGTGGCCCGGTTGTTGGGGGCGGCAGTGTGCCACCCTCTGCCGTTACGCTATCCTTTGCATAGTGGCTTGTTGCCAATTGTTGCGATCTAAAGAGTTTCAAAATCACTTTTGGGAATTCAGTAAAAGTCTCCATGATTATGTTAATCGCTTTCATGTTCTCCTTTATCTCAGTTTGATCAGCCTCAAGTTTGTTCAGTAGCTCTAGCTTTATTGTTGATCGTGTTGTTGTCATGATGACGAGATTAGAATCTAGCAGGTCGGACCAATTGATAGAAATGAAACAAAAGAGAAAAAAATCAAACGATATCAATTGTTTGCCCAAGAACAATCACACGGCACCAATCATTTGCCCAAACGTGACGGCTACTTTATTTTCAAAATTTGAAAATGATAGTCTCCAACTCTAATTACTCTTTAAAAACTATTACCGAAACCATACATACTAAAAATAAATTAAGTCCATCCAATAACTAAAGGGCAAACTCAACTCAAAATATAATATATTAATATAAACAAGTAAATAAAATATAAACCCGCCAACAGCAGGCGTAAACCCATCTCCGTTGTCAATAACAAGCATCGGAAGAGACTCCACTTTCTCTTTAATCTTAACTTCATACATTTTCGATTTTTCTTTTTCTCGGTTGTCAATTATGTTCCTTGAGTTTGTGAGGATGAATTTGAACTCTGTAGTTTTGGACATTGGGTTGTATGATAATGATTTGCTTGTTTTCGGTAATATTAGGGATTTTAGATGAATTAAAATTGGATTGGATCTTGACTTATAGCAAATGATTAGATATAGAATTTATAAAATTATGTTGTTGTAGGCCCTAAAATATTATATCATAATTGATTTTATACTCTTTAATTGGTGAGTTTTTAGGTCGAATACATGAATTTTAAATCGTGAAATTAAATCAAGAAATACTTATTGAGTTTGCGGAAAGTGGTAATTTGACTTGCTCTCCAGCGACATGAAAACTGTAAAATACAAAAAAGTAAATAAAACAGTAAAGATAAATTGGCAACGGTAGCGAGCGGAGTGACGGCCTGCGACCGGTGGGTGCTCTGAATGTGCATGTGAGTGGAGCGGTAGATGTATATATAAGTGATGATTGACAAGCGGCGGCTGATAGTGATAGTGAATATGTGACCGGTATTAAATCTGCGGATAGAGTGTACATAGATATTTGTGTGATCTGTGCATTCCTTGATGGTTAGATTCTTATGGATGAAATGAACGGATGATGAAAGTGAATCAGCTAAACATATATGTATAATACGAAATGACAGAAGAAATGCAAGTGATCATACTTGTTCATTTAAATCAAATTCTTGACATGCTGCAACAAAACTTTAATGACATCCAGTGTCATAACATTATAAGCAAAAAAAATTGTTGTCACTGGACATTTCAGAGATCCAATTGACAAGTGTCTATGTCCAATTAATCATTCCAAAATCTGTTTCATTAGTGGCTTTACCCTTATGATACTTATTTTTAATCAAAATTGAATTCTTATCGGTAAGTGAGCAGGCCGACAAGGCTCTCGCATACTTACTACCATAAACTACCTAAAATCTGTTAATGAATACGATGCGAAATTAGACTTTGATAATCAATTCTTTTGAAGAACTTTCCCCAACATGTGAAGATTTCAAACTTAAATAATCAAATATAAACTTGAAATTGGGAATGAAATTGCAAATGAAGAAATCTTGATGTTCATTTATCTGCTACGAAAACTGTGAATCCACATTATAAAGCAATAACAAAGCAATAAATCTGCTTATGAAAGCAACTGAAAATGGGTGGTCTGGGAAGAAGAAAGATCTCCACTCCCCCAACCTCCTTTAACTAAGAGAAATCCCTTACAGGATTGAAGTTCTCGAAAATTAAATAGTGTGAAAGCAAGTAAACACTTTGATGTAATGTGTTTTATACAAATAAAATCTGGCCCTATTTATAGATTATCTGGATCTGCAGTTGGTAGCAGTTGAGTGGTTACATAGCAACAGTTAGGAGCGGTTGAACGGCTATTGCAATCGTTGGGCTGTTAGACAGTTAAGTGGTTTCCTACTCTCAGTTCGCTTGCTCGCTTGCTGGACTGATATAGCTGGGGCACAGATCTTCCTCGTTTGCCTCGTTAGATTTGGCTTAGCTGGAAGGCATCGGCACAACTTAAGCGATGCTATTGTCGCTGGCCGGTAACTGAATGGCTGACCGCTGAGATATAACACTTAGGTAAATATGGGAATTTCCGGATCTCGCTCATCAGCGGTGGATGTTTGATTAGACTGGCTCAGGCACAAGTGGAAAAAGCGTCGCCTGCCATAGCTGGCTACACCCTCGCTGATTTTCCATACTTGGACATTTCTGAGCCAAAATATCGCTTAAAAAAAACTAAAAATATCAATAATCTCCAGAAGCGGGCTTTGGATCATATTGTGATGGTTTTCATATAAAAATTCAAAAAATACACAGTTCTATCAAGTAGTAAATATACTATTATTTGGATTTATCATTGTACAAGAAGGGAATTGTTCTTTACCATGTCATGTACTGTTGAGTAATTGTGATGGTAAAGTACAGCATATGGAACTGCATTGCAGAGAAAAAAGGGGGAAGAAAAATGAAACACGCATAATTAGTGAAAGAAGCTGGATATTGTGGTAGTATAGGACTTTGATCAATTTGAGGACAAAATATTCCTATAGACATTGTTGAGGTTTGTGCAGTATTCCTTTTTGGGTCTGTAGGATTGATCTTATCCAACTAGGCTTTGATGTGATGATGAAGAATCCTTAAGTGCCTGATTTATGCATTTGATAAATTCTAGTTTTTACAAAATAAGAAAATGAAGGAATTAATGAAATAGCATATATTGATGCACCAAGGTGCACAACCCATTTCATAATATAAATAGATAAACATGTTGACCTGTAGAGTTTTGGCTGCCAATTGGATGCAAAATTACATATTTCATATTTTTGTAATAGCAACAATTTTCCAACTGTGAGGAGTAACATTCATGATGCTGGAAGTTCAGGATATGCGTTTTATGATTTTCTGGATCTGAAATTCTTTAGGGGAAAATGCATTTTGGATTTGATGTTTTGTTTAGAGTTTTAAGTTTGGAAAATGATTGTTTTTGTGTGGGGGAAAATAATTAATTGTAGATTGCATGGTGCGGAAAGGGTAGTGAAATACAAACAAAACAAATACACTTATTTTTCTTCAAGTTGAAATTCAAAGCTCAGGTGGACAGGACTTACTGCTGTTTTAATGGCTTTCTGTAATGCATCGAAACTAAATAAGTCCATTTCTTGTCTTGAAATATCTCATGAAGTTAGTTAACACGATTTCAAGTGAAGAAGTAGAATTAACAAGGTACTAGAACTATCATGTTCATGCCATATCTTGAAAATTATTTCATGAAGTCTGTCAAATAACGTTGTGATTTACTTCGAAGTAGAGTCTTAGGCAATGCATTTGAAAGTTATTCACCCTTCCATAATTTGCTATTTTAATGTCATGTTAGAGTGTATAAACTCATGTAATGAACTGTGGGATCCTTGAAAGCTTTCAAGATTATGCTGGTAGTATGAGTGTACAACATAAACGTTTAAAGATGTTAACGTTTTGCAGGATTTGTAGCATCTTGGCCACTTCTTCTTGGTGGACAATCTGTATGGACTGTAGGCCTGGTTTCTACCCTGATTTCGATTAGCAGCATTATTGCAGCAGATTCATTTGCCTTTTTTGTTGGAAAGGCATGTATTGATTTTGAAAGCATTCTGTTTTATGCAAACAGATCAGTCAGACTGATGTTTGAACATGCACTTAATCTTGTGAGATAGCCCTACAATGAGTTTTTAGTTCTGTAAAGAGCGGAAGGATATATTTTTAACAACTGCTGGTCTCTCTGCTTCTCTTATTTACTTTTATCTTTTATGATACTTTAGTATTTAGTATGCAATATTCTTTATTTTTTATATTTATATATTTGTCGGTGTTTCTTATTTATATTAGAATTATGATTTGGTTATTTATTAGTTAACAATCAGATATATGCTTTATGAATGAAGTTTATTTTGTTTGTATTCTTTTATAATTTCAATGAATATACATAACGATTTATTTCTAACATGATAGCAACCTTATCGGGTTGGATCCTGTCTTATTCAGGTTTAACTTCAGGAATTCTTCACATATATATTATTCAAATGGATACTTTATAATATTTATTATCCTTGTAATTTATTATAGTCTCATGTTGCCTGTATTATATTTTAGAAGTATAGCAGGTTCAGGATGTGATTTAATTTACTAGTTTACTGTTATGCTCATGAATAGGGAACTCTTATCTTCCCTTTCAATAGGACAAGATTTAATTTTAACAAATGCATAATAGCTTTTCGGTTTAGTCCACTGTTATGTGTTCTAATGTGAGTGAAGGGCCTTAACATTATTTTTGGGTGTGCTAATTTTGCTTGAACTTTTTTCTATATAGTTGACTGTAAAATGAAACTAAAAATTTAGTTTTCATCTTTGTTTATTTAATTTTTTGGTCTTAATCAATACACGACAACCGTGATGCCAGGATATGGTTTGACAGAATTTTATGCAGGCTTTTGGTCGGACACAACTAACTGCAATTAGTCCAAAAAAGACATGGGAGGGAACTCTGGCTGGGCTAAGTGGTTGTATAGCAACCTCCGTCTTATTGGCCAAGATCTTGTGCTGGCCTTCTTCTGTCCTAAGGTGCCTGTTTAATCTCTATAATATAACGTGCCATTCTCATTTTTGTTTCTATTGGCTGTTTTTGAGTCCTGTTTCATCCCTGTTGTAGTACATTTCATCTTGCTAAATATGAAAATTTAAAATTTAAAGCTTCTATGTTCATAATGCTGTGCTTTGAATACTGTTCAGTGCTGTAGCTTTTGGCTTTTTGAATTTCATCGGGTCTATTTTTGGAGACCTCACAGAGTCCCTGATTAAGCGTGATGCTGGCGTGAAGGATTCAGGATCACTGATACCTGGACATGGTAGGGCCGAGTCTATGGACTGTTTAATTTGTTGACTGGTAGTTTCACATTGTGTTGTAACTTGGATAACTAGCTGCTTTCATTCAGTTATCATTTGCTGCAATGTATTTTGCAACAAATCTTTAAATTATCGTGGTTCCTATCCCTTATTAAGTTGGATGGAAAACTCACTTATCACATCATTACCAGGGGTTATCTTGCAACCCCTCCTTTTCAATTATATAATTTATATCCCACACTTAAAATTTGCATCAGCATCCTAAAAATGCCCCATTTCCTACTTCTACTGTAATAGGTGGCTTAAGTGACTCTCATATTAAGCTCAAGTAAGTGAGCAAGGTGCATACCTGTACTCTAGCATCAACTCATTGCAATAGAAAAATCATATTAGGCTGCATTCAATTCGGTTTCAGATGGGGCTCTGATATGTTTGTAATCAAATTTTCTACTTTGTCAAGCTTCATTATTTAACAAAGACTTTTTCTAACCAGGAGGCTTACTGGATAGGGTTGATAGCTATGTCTTTACAGGAGCACTGGCATACTCTTTTGTGAGAATATTTCTACCACTTTATGGAGTTTGATGAAGGTCATGCAGTGTAAGTTTGAGAATGTTCCCTCCTTTTTTTCTCTTTTTACCTTAGCTTGTGCCTGGTAGCTACTAGCTACTTTAAAAGAGAATTATTGATCAGTGGGCTGGGATATTTTGAGCAGCATAAAGAAAACTGAGAATTCATTTCAGTTCTATTAGGATTTTCCTTGCCTTTATCAATCTTTGTTCAATCACATTGCTGTGTTAGTTTCACAAGGATCATGGAAAGGTTTGCCTTGTTATACTGTCCCATAGGAGTATTTAGTTATGTGCCACAATAGCTGAATTTGTACCTTCATTTAGTAAGCACAAAACCTTTTTTCATTTAGTAAGCACGATAGTTGATCAATAAAATAGTGGGTTCAAATGAATATAGAAGGCCCAGTTGGAGCAACTATATATAGAACTGAATCTCAATTATTGGACCGGTATTGTAATACCTCCAAAGTTGAGCCGGTGCTAGGACAACTCTTGTGGGTGAGCTTGTGCCAACTGCCAGGTCATCCGAGATTGAATAGTAATTAAATAGATTGGATAGAGTACTCATGTCAACAATGTATATATTCTTTTACGGGTGTCCTATTAAAAGAATTCACATTTAAGTATGTTTGTTTTAGAGTAATTTGAGGATGAGTGACCTTGGGAGGGTGCGCGTGAGTGAGGATAGAAGAGAACTCGTGTTGACCTGTGGGCCAATACCGATACCTTCGGCTTTGCGTGACTTGCAGGCCGGAGTGTCACAGGTACTTTATGTACTTTGATATATTTATATTTTTAGTACATGGTGTACTTTAGATTAGAGATCTTGATTAATCCTTCACCTGTAATATTCAACATAATAGACACTTGAACAGTGGTACATTGCCAAAACCATGCAAACCAAGTCTACCCTAAGGCGAAAAAGGTTGCCACATCAGGCAAAAATGTTGACTCAAGCATTGGCTAGAGCCACCAATTATTGTGCTTCTCAGCTTTTATGCTATGTCCCATGTAGACTATAGGCATTCATGTTCTACATCTGAAGACATTGTCTATTAGTTATAATTGGAAACTCAGTGAAATGACCTCAGGATATCAAGATTTTAATCCTTTTTTCTTAAAGGAATCAATAGACAAGACAGCCCCAGTGGAGGGTTTGGAAAAACCCATTCTTTTACATATATTTTGTGTCTCACCCTCTTCTATGTGCATGCTAGGCACTCATACATGTCTGCAATTCTAGATTTGTAGTTTTGTCTGTAGTCATTTGTTTTATTGTATTTTTGGTTTTGATGTTTTTTATGCAAGATTAATTGTTTAATATGATATTTTGTATGAAAAATTAGTATTAGATGTGATTTTTTTAGGGAAAATAAAAGATTGGACGGTAAAAAGATTGTATTTGGAAGCACAAAAGAACAAGCCCATTCTATATTATGGATTATTGGTGTTTGATGTGATGATTTTCCATTGTTATTATTTAGAATAGTTCATTTAAGAATATTATTCTATGGCCTATGCATCAATTGGATTGTGCATTTTACAACTAGGCTTGAATTGAGTTTGAAGATTTGAGTTTGTTTTTATTTAAATAATATTTCATGCGATATTTTTTTTTTTCGGAGAACTTGGACTATAAAAAGTAAAAAAAGTCCATAGAAACCGAAAAGAAACATATGGAGACGTGGTCCAAGTGACTATTGTTTCGTTAATGTTGAAACTCCAAAACAATGAGAATAATATATTTAATGATAGAAATATATCTTTTTAAAAAAAAATCCATATGTTTTCAACTGGCAAGAGATATTTTGAGAGACAGGTAGACAACTAGTAATTGGATATTGATCCACTCCTTTCTATTCTCTAACAAGTTATGTGTTATGTGCTATGATTAAAATGAAAACAAATGTCATGTTAATGCAAGGTTCCAATATGTAGGCCAATTTGACTTGGCTGAGTACAAAGTCCACTGGTGACATGTTTATGCATAAAAAGGCTCAGAAGAAAATCTGCTTCAGAAAGAAATTATCTAGTTCAAGAATGGGAACAAAGTCCACCAGGTTGAGGTCATCTAATTGTTTTTAACTTTCTATTTGATTAGGGAATTGAGTCTTTGAACCACTTATATGAAGTTGTTGTCACATGTTGCCTAGGTGGGGTTGGGCCTGGGTAGGATGCATTGGGACATGACTACTAATATACAACACATATGAGTGTGTGTGTGTAAGATGTAAGGAAAGAAAGTTGTTTTAGATAGAAAAGGGAGGTAGCACCACCTTGCAAATGGAAGCTAACCCCATCACATATTCATACAAAGGAATTCTGGAATTTGCAAGAAAGTTTTTAGCTTTGAGGTAGAAAAAAAAAAAAAAAGACCATAGTTGTGTTACTATTAAGGGCCCTACTACAATTGGCTTTTGGACAAGCATGAGTGCTTACTTTTGTGTTTTGGCATATAAAACAAACAAATGTATATATGTGGGAAGGAGAGAATGCGTTGTTTGAAAGCAGACATAGGTAAAAAGAAAAAAAACATTTATGTGCTTAGGATTTGATTTTGATTAAAGGGCTTTGCTTGATGAAAACCATACTTTTGTTTTTGACAAGAACACACACATGTAACTGTCATAAACACCTCGCACATTTATGCATACCACACCACACTTTTCTTACTTTACCTTTTTTGTTACTTTTCTATCTTTTTATTGCCCCTTTCGCCTTGGATGCTCTTGTGTTTCTTTTTTTATCTCCTTTTCTATTGGCAGGCAATGGTTATCAATATTTGTGTTTTATATGTTAATGTGTGTATATATGTGTATATGTATATATGTATACGTATATATCATTTCACTTTGTGTTTTTTTTTAGTACAAAAAATGATAATATTAACATATGGCATAAGGTATATGCATGAACATAACTATGATAGCTTTCAAGAAATGATCTCATCTTGAATACGGAAAGCTAGACTAGTTCTTTGAGCTTCTATATTAATAAGTTTGTGTTACCGATTCATCCTTTCTTTGTAATATACTCCCTTTTTCCATTAACTTTTTTTACATTTACTTTGTTTATGTTGATTACAAATAATACTATCAGATATTGTGCAAGTTTGTAAAGATTAAAATACTTTTAATTAGATTTTAAGGGTCATATTGGTTGACTCCATAATAAGTGACTAAATAATCTGTATCATTTAAAATTTAAATTTTTAAGTGAGATGATCTTTGTATAATATGGTATTAAAGTTGGGATGTCTTGTGTTAGAATCTCCTATCTCCTATTATTCTTTTAAGTTTAAATTTTTAGGTGAGACGATAATTTAACCGGTTAAGTCCATACTTACCAAATAAGAAAATATGTTTTTATTGTTTGTAGAGTTTCTAAATAACAAAATGTGGCTATTGTTAGTAATTAGAGAAGACTAACTAAACATTATGCTTCTTGGGTGTGCAAATACTTGGATTTCTCATTTTTATTTCCAGTTGAGCAAATACTAGGTGTTCAAATCCCTTGATTATTAATTAATTAATATGATGATAATATCAAAGTTGATCTTTTTAAATCCCTGAGTCCTGGGAGGGGAGAGAAGCAGCTTAGCTTGTGCATTACAAAAGTGCCTCACTTTAAAACTCCTTAACAAAAAGTTGTATATCATTATTATACTTTTCATGGAAGGCTGCTTTCTTTTGCAATTTTATTTATTTATTTATAAGCAAAAGTTAGTGCAATGTGTGCTTTTTAGTGGCTTCTATGTTTTAAATTTGGTGTCCTTTTCTTTCTTTCTTTCTTTATTTGCTTTCTCAGAATCTACTCTCATTCATTCATTATCAATCAACATTGGGAGGTGTTGTTTGGTTTCATTTAGGGTTTTAGTGCCCTTTCCTTCACTTCCCTTTACATCCATTCCTGTCTTTTCTTTCTTTTCTCACTTCTGCGGTGCATATGATTTTATATATACAAAGATAAAGATATATATATATATATCTATACGGGCATGGGTCAGATCCGGTCAAATCAGCATCAAGTTGACTTGTCTAGATTAACACAAGATCTGCGGCTTATGTATATACTCTTCTGTCCGGAAAAAATATGTAACTTGGTTGGATATGAAAATTAAAAAATAATGATATTATAATATTAAAGCTGTCTAGGTAAAAAGTAAACTGAAAATTTATAAAAAATTTATTAATGAGTTGATAACAAAGTGGTGGTGTAAGTAGAAAAAAGTTGTAGCAAGATTATTACTCCCTCCGTCCATATAGTAAGTAAACATTTATTTTTAGTGTGGTGTTTAAGAGATAATAGTATTTTAATTATAGTAAATAACTAAAAGTATTGTAATGACATTTTTGTCTTTGTTTTTTTGTGTAAAAGTAATAATGTGATGCAAAGTAAGGGTATCTGTGAAAAAAAAATGAGGTATTTAATGAAATGTTTACTTTATAATTAGACGTCTCAAAATAGAAATATGTATACTTAGTAGCTGGACGAATGAAGTATTATTTATTAAAATAGGAGTAATAAATTTGTGGGCGAGTAAAATATTTTACTATAAGTAGAATGTATATGCATTGATATGTTTGTTTTGTGAGATTGTTAAAAATGAAAAAAAAAAAAATTATATGGAGTATAAAAAAGTTGGGTAGAGACTATAAAAATAATGAATATGGCTAGTGTATTAATTTTTTTGAAAAAATATGTAAAAATAAATAATACAAAGAACAAAGTCATAAGTTACATGGATAAAGATTAAAAGATACTGACATTATTTCGGCGGACTGAGGAACTATATTAGAAATGCAAGAGTACATCCTTTTAAATGTTTGTTTACTTAAGAGTTTGATTTTATATTGTACTAATTTTAAGTTTTGGTATAAATAGTAGTTTGTTTGAAGGATTTTTGGATAAATTTATATTATTCATACAAATTTTTTCTCCGAAAATATCCAATCAAATACTTATATTTTATTTTTATATTATACTAAAAATTAATTTTACATTCAAAATATCGCATAAATACTTATTTACATTACATCGTACTATTATTTCAATTCAAATGTTTTATCATTCAAATCCTAACTCAAAATCCAAACGCCCAGACAAACACATTCATAATGTATATTTTGATAAAGAATTGTGAGAGCTTAATGGTAAAAATCTTAAACCAAACTTCAAGTAATAGGAATTCAAGGTGTGTGTATTTTGGAATTTGGTTTTATTTTTTGGTTGTGTTTTTTTTAATAATGTTCACTCTATCTCAATTCAATATGGTCATATATTTTTTTATATAATAAATTAAAAATAATAAGATTTTATTAATTAATAAAAATATATAAGAATGTTTTGATATTTTTGTTCATGAAAGTAAAAAAAAAAAATGAATATTCATATTAAAGTTAGGGGTATTTAATATTTAGGTATAATTATTTTTATTGTAGAATTAAAATTTGATACTTTTGAATGAAAGTAATAAAAGTAGTAAAAAAATATATTGAGTTGAGACGGAATAGGTAGTTTAAATGTAATATTTTGAAATAATAATAATAATAATAATAATAATAATAATGCTATATTATTATATATCACACTATATACATTCATTATTTTTATATTCTTTATGTATTTTTCTATACTTCATATAATTTTATTTTATTTTTTTATTTTATTTTATTTTTTTTATTTCTAACAATCTCACAAAACAAATATACCCGCAGCATGCATGTATGGTTGATCTAAAAATTGTTATTTTAAATAAGACACACACATGAATATGATGTTGTCTTATGAATCGATATTGTTTGCATATTTGTTGAATTAATGTAACATATATAAAAGTTGAAGTTTGGTATATGAGTGTTGTAACGAATGCATGTTAATAAACCTTGAACATTAGGATGATTATATAATACTCCCTCCGTCTCAGATACCGTGTCTGTTAGACACAGTATTTTACAAGGAATGTAATTAGTAGATAATTAAGGATGTATTAGTGAAAATAATTATCCTATAATATAAATAATTATAAATTAAGATTAAGATAACTAATTAGTTTAATTAAAATTAAAAAATTTAAAATGAGATTAAAGTGTGTAATCATTTTCCAAAAAAAAGAAAAGTGACATGGTGTGTGGGACGGACAGAAACGGCAACTTGGACATGTTATCTGGGACAGAGAAAGTAATATATATATATATATTTATATAAATTGTTTGCTTGTTAATTATAATTTCTAATAACTAATCATAAAAACTCTAAAAAAATTTCTAAGCATCGAAAGAACATAGGGTGTGTTTGATTTTGATTTGAAATTGAAGTTTTGACATGAGATTTTTCAATAGTATTTTAATGTTATATTTTAGGAGATAAAATAATGTACTTTTTATGAAAAATCATTGCGTAGAAAATTATTTGAAATAAAAATAAACAAAATCATAACTTGGCTAGTATTTATGCATTGTATTTTTATATGTACTCCCTCCGTCCCATGTAATATGGGTGTATTACTGTAGACACGAAAATTTAGATAAAGTATAATTAGTAAGTAATTAAGAAATGTATTAGTAAAAATAATTATATATTAAAATTAAGATAACTAAATAATTTAATTGAAATTAAGATAACTAAATAATTTAATTAAAATTTTTAAAAAAATTCTAAAATTTAAAATATGATTAAAGTGTATAATTATATTTTCAAAAAAGAAAATGACATGGGACGAACGAAAATAGAAAATAGGGACAAATTATATGGAACGGGGAGAATACTCTCTCTATCTGAGTCAAATATATTCATTTTGTCATTTTTGTATGGGCAACACAAAAGTTTTTTTTTTTTTAGTAAAAATATCTTCTAATTAAAATAGTTTTTACACTGTTATATTACATTATGTATCTATAGAATACTAATATATTTAAATCACGTAGAAAAGTCAAAATAAGTATTTTTTATTCGGATGGAAGAAAGTATAATTTTCTCTCACTCAATTTTTACTATTCTTCCCGTCCCGTCACAAATAACCTCTTTTTCTTTTATGTATGTCTCACAAAAGATAATTCATTTTTATTTTTGATAAATTTATCAATTTTAAATACACTTAACATATATAAATAATTTAATTAAATTTCTAATTAACCTCTTACACAACTTACTCAAAACCTTTCTATTTCTATATCTTTCATCAATTAAAAAATTTATTTACTTTTAAAACTTCTATTTTTTCTATAAAACTAATTTATAGTAATGATAAAAAATAAATATATATTTTTATTTATTTGTATTAAATAATATTCATATTTATATATTTTATCGAGGTGTAATATTAAAAATATTAAAACACATTTTAAAATTTTTTTTAACCATTAAATAACTAATATTGATTATCTAATAACTAATA